GACCTATAGCCCACAAAAAAAAAAAAAAAAAAAAAAACTGCGCAATATCTACTATATTGTGTCAAAAAAGGCGAGGATAAGCGACATAAATTTTCTAGAATTATCTTCGAGATTCTCGACAGCCTTAAGACAAAAAGGCAAATGCGGCTGTTTAGTAACTACCGCAGTAATTTGTGAAGAAGCTGACTTTATCACTGAAATTTGGCTCACTAAATTACTAAAACTGCAAATATCTTGCGTACTTTACGTTAGTTATTATAATAAAAGTTATGCAGTTTATGAGCTAATGAGTTTTTTTCCTAAATCAGTTTAATGCGAGGAAGTAGTTTTCGTGCAGAAGTTTGCTGTGTCAATAAGAATTTGCGTTTGTAATAACAAAAGCAATAAAGGCAACAAAATAAACAATAAGGTGATTTGTTTGGTCTAACTGAAGTGTACTGGCTTGACTGTACTATTTTTGTATACTAATTTTAGAGCAAATGAATATTACAGTCCCGAAATTCGCATGCAAATTTTCATTTAAATGTCCGTTGTGTTTGAGAGAAACTAGTTCTGAGTGTGCTGTGAGAATCTATTCAGCTGCGCTATATTTGGAAATATATTGTGGCAATCTGACCTGCATAACTCTTCGTACACAATAATTAGCATATTTGCACGTTCAATTGAGGGATTTTCGAGAGGTACTGCAGAGTAAACTATGGGCGACTGCTGGGAACTAGTCAGTCCCCGTAGCACGAAGAAATTTATTATTGCACTTTTTATTTCGAAAAATTTGCCACTTGCTGGAGGCAATAAGTACCAGAACTTTGGACTAGCCATTTCTTGGTAAAAACGGTCTAAGTGTGAACTTAGAAGTTAAGTGAGGTTATGTGAATTTCAAAATTGCAAAAAAAAAAAACAAAATATTTGCCATCCATAAGGGTGAACAACAATGAAGTTAAAACCTTTGAGGCATTAAAGTGAAGTATCAGATCGACAGAAATAGATGTACTGTAAATTGCTTTTTGAAAGCAATTATGAAAGACTTTAAGCAAGCCATGTAATATTCAGGACGCAGATATTTTTTTGTAAGTTTTTTGCACCTACGCAGTGTTTAAATGAATATTTTGGTGAGGTACGCTCAGTGCGTCTGCTTGTTTGTTTGTTTGTTTGTGTGCGTGTACGTTAATCTGTTCATACGTCTCGATCTCCAGACCTACAATCTCTATGAAACTAAAATTTTAGCAACTTAATCAATGGATGAGTTTATGAATATTTTGGGTTATTGAACGATACCCTGGGGATTTTAGAGGATACAGAAAAGGCCGTCAATGTGACAAAGGATCTATTTGAATGGCTATATGAAATTACTTGGATGAGAGCACAGTAAAATGGAAAAGAATGGTGAGGTTGCCAGCTGAATTAGTGGCGATAAGTAACGCTACGATGTAACAACATCTAATCGATGTTGTTAGTAAAAAGATGTAGATTTTTAAATAATATTAGTTTTTACGTGCCCATCAATGGAGAATTTCCCCTTGACTGGGCTATCCTGTGTGTCAAAAAGTGTAGGCTTCTATTCCGTCTTATTGTCAGTGCGAAATCTGATAGTTTCTAAAGTATGTAAACTGAGCAACGGAACTCACAGTTTGGGGATTATAACAGGGGAGTCGCGATGACTGAGGGATCGCTCTGTCCTATCGCTTGTTGCAGCTTGTATACCGTGCAGCACCTCGGTTGCCGTGTAAAAATCTTCACTTTTGCTGGCAATGAGGGAGAGGTCAGCGCCGATTCCGCTGTCCACGGGGGATGGCATTTCCACCGTAGCTTTGTATACCCTGGGTTCCTGTTGTTGCTGCTGCTGTTGGGGTTGTGGTACTTCTTGTGGGTACTGTAGAGTGCTGGCTCGTTGCTGTTGTTGTTGCTGTTGCTGGTACTGCTGCTGATAATGCTCCATCGGACGTTGCCATTCGTGTGCCGTAACGGCACCCTGGAAGACGGTCGGGTAGTAGAGGGGGGCAGCGCTTGAGGGAGCAGCGATGATCGAGGTCTGACCCTGGGCCAGTCCGATAGCCGCATAGTCAGTATAAACGCGACTGTAGCTGGGCATCGAATAGTACTGCTCGATTGGCTGCATCTTGCTCAAATCCTGGAGGCTCGGCTGACTGAGCGGGGCCAGGTCGATCGGCTCACTCTTCGGTGAGAAGTCATGCTGTTGCTGTTGTTGCTGACCGCGACCTGCAGTGCAAGTAATTTCAACCTACTGACAGTACAATATCCGGTATTTCGAAGGGTAAGCGTTGGGTAAATACGGTTCTGCTCCTGAAATTTTTCCATACAATTTGTTGCTCAAATTCAGCATTGCTCAATTCGTCTTATCACTTTGCAGCAGAGCTTGACACCTCCCATCCGTTTCAAACCTGCCTTTCCCCTTCCTTTCCACTCCTATCTGAATTCAGCATCTTGGCCGCTCATAAGTCCACACTTTGCTGAAATCCCTTCCTCCCCCGACTGCAGAACAGAAAAAAGTTAGCATTTTATCCCGTTCTCCGGAATTTTTTTTTTTTACTGATACCTTTTCTAGTTTTATCGCTCCAGCCCACTGAAATAGTAACCCGAACAAGTGAGAACTCAGCGAAAATATGTGCAGCCAAAACGCTTGCTCAGTACTGATTAGCAGATCAAGTTGTTTTCGAGGAAGAGATATGAGCGTAAACAGGGATGAGTTACCATCGGGCGGGTATTCCAAGACAGGAAGGATGGTTGTGATTGGTGCTTTGTTACACCTCAGTAGAGGCCACCAGAGCAAAGAGCCCGGCCGATTTTGGGTTACTCGCGAAAGCATGCAGAGTTTGTCGAGCTGTAAATCATCGATGCTAAGATCATTTAAATCGGTACTGAGATTCGCTCGCGATTGATAGGTATGCTTAGATTCAAAAAATTAATCCAGTGACCAGATGTTTTTTGGCAACAAACTAGCACCGGTAAATAGAGTGAGACAAGGACTGAACTCATTTTGAATTAACTCATTTTGAATTTTGAATTAAGACAAGGACTGAACTCACTTTCAACTCATTTTGAATTAAATATGGAATTCCTGCGAGATTTGTATCAGGTATCATCTTTCGCAGGGAAATGATTTGTTAGTAAGGTCATAAGTAAAGAGTGCCAAGCACTGAATTTAAAAAAAGGATGTATGCGACTTGATGGACTGAAATCTTCCATTCAGAGATTCCTCCTCCTATAATATTTACTTTGACTAATTTTCACCTACCCTAACACCTGCAAATTTTGGCTACTACTACTACTACATTGCTTTAGCTCTATTTCGGTTAAAAAAATATCCTAAATCTGCCAAAAACGCTTTTTTTTACCACAAAAAAACTTTTCAACAAATACATCCCATCTTTTCTTAGATTTTTTGGCAACAGCCTTTTCTGCTCCTATTCTCAATTTTATCGCAACAATCAAGAGACAGCGCAAAATCGAAGCTTTTTGAACTGATTTGCCTTAAAAAAATACGTAAATACAGAAAAATTATGGCTAATACGGTGAAACTAATAGCGTGATTCTAAAAGAAAAGCTTTATTTCCCAAACCATCGACAAAAAACTCCTGCGTTTTTAACTCCTATTCACTCGAAGCAATCTGAAAGAGGGAGCTATTGACAGCCTTGTGATTAGAAACTGTTTGGTGTCTCCACCTTTCGCAGTGAGTGGAAGACAGAGGCAGTTTCGACTTCCTCCTCAATTCGCTGCTGATTTTAACATCTACAAGATTAATTTTTTGTTTTGCAGCGCAAACAGGTAAAGCTTTGTTTGTTTTTCATTTTCCCTAGCCAAATTTTCATCCCGGGTCTTGAGAATTCGACGTCATTTGCCTGTCCAAACGTAGCCAGTACACAAATATCACTAGTTCAAGATGCAGTGGGATAGGGCTGGACCTGGTGGTGCGGTCTTGATGACCGAGGATGAATCAAGGTGGAATTGCTGCTGCTGTTGCTGCTGGGACTGCGACGAGGACATCGTCGCCGTACCGCGCACTGGTGACTGCGAATCGAACGACTCCAATTTCATTCCTTGCAGGACCTGCAAAAGCCATATTTTCCAAACGATTCACCGTTCATCCTGGCAATGCCGTAACAATTTTGCTAGGACTTACCGGACATTTTGACTGCAGCACCGAGAAGCCTGTGGCGCCGACGCTACTGCTGCACTCGATCACCTGCCACTCAGCAGTGCAGACGCAACCTTCGCAGTAAGGCAGCGAGGAGAAAGACGGATAAAACTTGCTACATTTCTCAAAAGAGAGTGCCAAAAACAAGTTATACGCTGGGACAGGTTTTCGGACTTTTCGCCCGAGCTGAGGTCAAAGGGCAAGTGTACACAAAACGAAGGGACCTTGCTGGGGCCGGTTCTAGGAAATGAGGTAGCCGAATTAGAAGGCGGCTGCAGCGAGCTCGAGAGTTGTAGGGTGAGGGTGAGGACAACGAGGAAGAGGTGAGGGGGTACATTAATCGTTCTTTCGGGGGGAAAAAGCGAGTACGGGTGGTGCGGGGCATGGATGGGGAGAGGGGTAGTGTTATTACTAGTGGTGCAGGTGTGTTGCTGGTGCTGGAAACAGGCTTACCAACTATCCGGTCCTCGTTGGCTCGTTCCCGTCGGTGTCGTTGTGGGTGCCGCGCTACGGACTGGATCGTGCTGCTGCCGCTCCTCGGCAAGTTACCGGTCCGGTATCTGCTGCTGTTGCTGCTGTATTGGACGGAGGGGGCCGGTCCTGGTGCTCCAGCCAAAGACGGGGGTGGCAGGACGCGTACCGGACGCTGCGAGCGGTGCACACGCGCAACTGTACGAGAAACTCGAAAAACCAGTAATGATCGGCGGTGGATGGATGGATGCACTCGGGGATGGGCGCACGGCGGTGAAGAATGGAAAGGAGGACGAACTTTTGGATGCGAGGGTCGACGGAGGCGGAGGGGCGGGAGCCTTCAAGGAGGGCAGCGCTGGGAGGGGCAGGTAACCCGCTTCCTCGGTCCACCATTTCACTTCGAAATTGGTTGACCGTGTCACTCTGATCGGCCTCCTCCTCCTCTTCCTCGTCGTCGTCGTCGTCGTCGTTGTCATCGTCCGTCGTTGAGCCGTTGCGGGAAACTTCGGCAACTGCCAGTTGTGTGATTCGTTTCAACAGAGATCCGAGAAAATTTTGATTTGAGTGTATGTGTGTGTATGTGTGGTGACGCTGCGCAAAGTGCTCATGTCGCTATTTAACAGACCGGTTACTACCCATCCATCCATCC